GGCTAGGTACTAAAGAGAAAGAATCAGCTTCTGGTGTTGCTTGGGCATAGAAGTTCTCATTCTAAAACATGTTTATGAAACTTTCTGAATGCATCAGCACATGCAGTTATAGCATCACCACAGCATTTTACATACAGTCAATATTATGTAACCATATAACATAAACGCAGATAATAAACTGCAAATTTACATCTCTGGGAAACAAATAAACAATGTGGCTTCAAAGATTTTTCCAGAGCCACCCACAGGAAGAATATGAATTTCTACAGTTACAGAAAATGTAATGCCCATTCCCAAGAACCTCAGAATTAAACCTTCACTCATTCGTCAAATACTGTCACGTTAAAAAGGTAATTTGACAGACCTCCCTTTATCCCTAACAGAACACATGGCTAAAGTCACAAATGCTTAAATAATAACTGCATGATGTCAGAAACAACCTTCTGAAACAGCCTACCTTAAACATTTCAAGTAGAGTCTCCTTCTTAACTTCCAGTCTTTCAAAGGCTTGTTTTTCCTTCATTATCTTTTTGCATAAAGTTTCCAAAGCAGAAAAGTCATTACTTGATACACCCCTAAAATAAACACACACAAAGAAGTGAGTCATTCTTGCTTTCACCTGCAATTTCTGACCCACTCACAAAGCACCAGCTTTGTGGATTGCACTGCACTAGTGCAGGTGACTGGGAACAAACAGACACCATAACTTTTGCTGACTGCCATCCCCCCCACTCCTAGAAAAGCCAAAACCTACCCTTCCTCAAGGAACATATCATAATAAAATCCATTTTCTATTGGTGGGCCATAGCACAAACAGCCACCGTAGATTCGCTCCATAGCTTCACCCATTATGTGAGCACTTGAGTGCCAGTATACCTAATGGAAGTGAATAAAAACAAAAAAGAGGGGATCAGTCTGAACACATGCAATGCATTTCTAGAGTATTTTATTTAAAACTTTCTGAAACGATTGCTCCTAAGGGTCCTTGGTGCAGATCTCACATTAGAACAGTCTGCAGGACAGAAGTGACCTACCCAGCAACACTCTGATCCCAAGTACCAGTATTTCCAAAGAGTGGCACTGGAAAATGTTTTACAGCCTGGTAGAAATAATTCTTACTATTGTTGAAGTAGTCTGAATGTTGTCAAGAAGTCAGGAAACTAATTCAGAAACTTTTTTTCTATGATCTTCAACCAGTTAGCTCTGCATAAAGACCACAGGTGCACTTTCAACATAAGGCTGCAAAGCTTTTATGCGTGGGAAATCCTGTGCTGAAGTAGAACAGTTCATAATGTTAAAAACTGCACTCCATCCTGTAGTAACTGAAGCTTAAGTCTCACAGGAGCCACCATTTAGCCAATATGAAAATCCTAAATTAGAATCCACGATCTGTGATGACTTCAACCAACAGCTTCTTGTACCAAACTATTTTTTCTCATGGCAATATTTATGAATTTACTGTACACCCACATTTATGTGAACAAGTAGCCAAAACAAAGTACGTACTTCTGCATGCACAAAGTAAAACAGCAGCTAACTCAGTACTTTTATGATCACAGACAGATGGTACTTTTGTACTTGGCATTGTTTTCAAAGTCTACTGAAAGTTACCAATTCAAAAGATGTATTTTACATTAACACAAAGGTTGCAAATACAGAATTTCAGCAAGAACAGACCAAACAAACTACAGCAACTGCTTGCAGACTCAGCTACAAACACACAGCAGAACCTGCATTATCTGCTGTACTGCATCTCCCTTGTAAGGAACAACTAGAAAGTCCAGACGTGCCTACCCAGAAAACCTGTTCCTGTCTCCTCATCTTTTGAGCACAATAAAGATGCAAATAACCCCCTGAAGATGAGTTTGATGCAAATCCAAGGGCAAACAAGTTTTGGCAGAAGATACTCACTGCCTGGGCCTCTTCATCTTCAAACTTAAGCAGCTCCAGGGTACAATCCTCCTCCAAAGGACGGTCTAGATCCCAAACCATCTTGTTCACTTTAGCAATAACAGTGTTGTCAGCTAAGCCCTGGCTACAGAATAAATACATGGTATATAATCTTTCGAAATGAGCAAGTAAAAGTTCCTCAGATTTGCCCTCCATGCTGAATAGTATTTTCAGGAGTGCTCAGAGAGTGTGATGTCATAAATTCCAGACACAGGAGCCATTTAGCCAGTCTTGAGCATTCATGAAAATCCTACTCACATCTCAGGGATGAGAGAATGAAACTGTGCTGTACACTTGACATGCATGCATTCATCAACATATCTGACTCAGGCAGCCACCTCGAAGCATTAACCTGACTTCAAGATCCTCTTGCAATAAAAGACAGGGCTTCTCTTTTAAAAATTATCAAATATCATTTCTGATGTAGTAACTTTACATTTTTGTTTTCACTAGGCAAGAATCCCTTTCCTTGACCCCAAATCACAAAAGCAAAGAAGGTTCCAATGACACAGTATCAAAGCATGAAGAAAAAAAAGGCATTTCACCTCTAAGAATCGCCTAGTTGTTTTTCTTTTCCCTGTCAGGGTGTCCAGTGTGCATTGGTCAAAACTACCCCACAGCAACCCAGGTGTGCCATGCTCTTTTTAATGGCTATTTCCAGAGAAAGTAAAAATTAAGGTAAGTGAAATATATTCATCCTGTTAATTCTCTCTGAAATCAACTGAAGCAACACTCAGTAGACACCTTCCTCAAGTCAATGCAAACTGGTTTTCATGGGCTAACACACAATCTGGTAAGAGCAAGTTTATTAGCAAATTAGTTCTCAATGCAATGACAGTACTGGAAGGGAAAAATATGCAAGTGATGTGTGTCTGAAACCTTTCCATTACATTATTATCTAATTTTATAAACCCCATTTTTATAAGGCCAAAAAAACCTGCAATCCAAAACTTAAAACTCTAGCTGTTATCTCCGGCTTACTATATACAAGATGCCTTTAGAAAAAAAACAAGATAAATGACTAAGAAAGAAGCTATACACTACCCATACCCCCACATTAGAGTGACAAAAACCTGCAGACACAATGCTGTCTGAACATGACTAAGAGGACCACAGAACAGAATCATACCTAATTCCACAGGCAATTTGGTAAGGAGTAGTCTTCCAAGATTCAGCATCAACTTGCTTTCCGTCAGGTAATGTAACTTTGATGGGTTTACTGTCTTTTGCAGCTCTTTCTGCAAGAAGTGCATCATGTTCAGCTTTAAGTTTAGTGTACATCTCTAAACGCTCATTGATAAATGCAGGCCAGGGATTCAGCTATATTTAAAGACAAATGAAAAAAACACATTATTAATCTAATATCTCATTATGTCAAGAATGCAAACAGGATGGATATACTTTTCAGAAGCAGCTATCTGACCATACCCACATGTGCTGTATCTAATTAATCATTATTATTACAGAATAATTCTACAGTAAAGTTATAACATTTCACCTTAATGAAGTTTATTTTGGAATGTACCACTGTACACTTGTTTGATAAACTATGCATATGTTAATAAACTACTATGTAGCTTAAACATGTTTAATAAGCTACACAAGGACAAAATTAAACTTGAAAAGGCTGTATAAGTTCAACACAAAAACAGATTTTTCTTATTAGCTCAAAACACTGAGGGAACACCCCTACCCTGAGCCATCCAACAGGAACTGATTCTAGCCTACATACCACAGAATGATGTCAGAGCTATCAGCTTGGGCACAACCAAGGTTATACAGCTATGTAGTTGGCTCAGGATCAGTGCTGGCCAGCACCTGGCCCATAGCTGGCCCTCTCTGTGCAGTCAAAGGGATCTGTGTTTACCCACCAAGACGGAAAAGATAGAGCAGCTTACACAGGCTTTCCTCATCCAGAGATCTGATGCAACCAGAGGCGCAGCAAAAAAAAACAATCACCAAGCAGCAACCACGGAAATCGCAGCTGCTCTCCCATTACACCAATACAACTTGGTGTAAAAAGAAACAAAGTCACTTCAGGGGAAACTTTGGGAAAAACCAAAGAGTGGGGACAGAAGTAACTGTAAAGATAAAATACTTCAGAAGGATGAACAGCAGCAATGCCAGCAGCACACAAGACCCCGAGCCAGGAACCCCCATCTTTCACCCCGCCGTGGCCCGAGAGCCGCTCACCTCCGTCCGCCCTCCATCGCCAGCCCCTTCCTTCATTTTCTTCTTTCCGCAGTCTGCCTTTTTTTCTTCCCCTGAATTCACCTGAGGAGGACGAGCACCGTTCCCTCATTCTCCAGCAGTAGCTCACACCTGCGCCGCTTTAACGCCCCCTAGCCCCACACACCAGGGACGGGACCCCGACCTCTTCGCCCCAGGAAGCCCCAGCCCTCCTCCCTGCTCTTTTACCTTCATGTAAATC